TGGTATCGTTCCCGGTTTTCCCATACATAGCTGGAGCTGTTTAGTCACAGGCCAGATCCGCCACCAGTGAACACTGCTGAGCACTCTCACCCGCTCTTCCACAGAGCAAGCAGCTCAGGAGGAAGGGGCTTTCAAATGTTCCCAAAGCAATATCGATTGTCACAGGTCAGCACCCATCAGCTGCCTCCTTGACAAGTCACTCAGAGTCTTATCACAACAAATACCTCAGCAAGCAAGCAAGCTTTGAGCCAAAAAACAAAGCAGGATTCTCACAGCAGCACAGCTTTTGGTTCACTCAGCTGCCCGTGGCACAGCACATCAGGCTTTCTGCAGGCATGGGAAATCATCCCATCGCTTTGTGCCTTACAGGAGTCGAAAACCTTCTCTTCTCAGACTCCGACTTCCAATTCCGGCACTGTGAATGAAGGTCGGCATGGGAGCAGCTGCTGATGGGAGCAGGAAGTCCAGGCTGATGCACTCTGAGGCATCTCTTGGTGCGGTACCAGAGGTGGCAGTAATGATGTCGGGGCACAGCTGCAGAAGAACGTGAGCAGCTCCCCAGCAGGAAGCCACAAAACCTGCAGAAAGCTGCAGGAGAGCCAGAGCGTGCGCGGGAGCCCAGGAGGAAATGCAGCCCAGGAGTTGGAGCGGCGCCTGGCAGTGGAGTGCTGCGGCCCACGGCCAGAGCTCTTCTGCCTTCGCCGGGCCGGCTTCCCAAGCAGGACGTGTCTGTCCTCGTAAAACCAGAGGGCTGGCTCATCCAAATGCTTGCTGATTGTTTGGAAGATCAAATTCTGAAGCTCAAATCCTTCCAGCCTCCAAGCTGGAGGCAACATCTCCCGGGTCCAATCGTGCGGCGCCTGAGTGAGAGGGTGACCCGAGATGGCTGCACAAGAGTCACCTTAATTTCTCTTAAAATCTTACTTCCAATAACCCCACTGGGTGACCCTTGTGTCGGTCTCTTAGAATTTGGATCTAGGAGGTGTCTGCTTCCTTTGCTTAGAATGAAAGCTCAGGAGTGATGCGGAACCATGGTGAGGTCACAGTCGTTGCTGGGGTGGCAGGGCTTGGCCCTCGGTGGCGAGCAGAGCTCTAGTGAGCGAGTGGCACACAGAGACTGAGCTCTGAGCGTTTTGTGGCAAGGATCATCCTTGAGAGCCCGTCAGAAGCACCGCTGCGGCGTGTGTGTGACCTGGGCACAGCCTGGACTGACCTGGACCAAGAGGTGAGCTGGGCTTGGTGCTGCGTGGTGGCTGGAAGGAGTCTCAGCAGAAAAGCTGGGCTGGGGAGGAGTTCCCAGCTCAAACGAGGCCCTTCCCAATGGCTGTTGCCAGGGGAAATTGATTCTCTGAGAGATTGTGGCACACGTTTGGGTGAGGATGACGAATTGCCATCACTCCCCTGTGTAACGCTACAGTGCAATGGAAAGTGCAGCAGTAACAACAGGGTGGCAAAGTCCGAGGCTGCAGCAAGGGAGGATTTGCCCAAGTGCAGCAGTTGGGGACACAGAAAGAAAGGAAAAAAGCTGCTGAGCCTTGGAAGGCCGCAGGTAGCAGGGATCTCCACTCAGACACCCTTGCCTCCACTGCCAACCCTTCAGTGATGTCTGGGAAGAGTTTGTGTGCACCTGAGCTGCCCTGCCTTCCCACCAGGTGCTCAATCACTGCCTCAAGTCAACGCAAAATGCGTGCTGCTAGGGGTAGAACTGGTGGTGAGATGGAGGACAGTGCTTGCTGGGAGAAGTGGTGGCAGTTAGACACAAGGTGGATCTAGACTTGGCACAGTTCTTGCAACCTGCTGCTTCCCAGACACTGCCCTCCTCCAGAGTCCATGCGGCATAAAAGAAGAAAGCTGCCAAATGCTTCTTCCTCATGATTCTTCCCTTGTTGACGCCTCCTCTAGGGTTCCTGTCCGAGAGGACATTTTGTGGATCCCAGCAGGTGCGGACTGCAGCCGGCTCCTTCATAGAGCAGGGAATTCCTTTGGAGACAGCCCATCCTTGCTCCAAGAAGTTCCCCATGGCTCTGCAAGGAGACGACTGCTACTACTATTTCAACTCCGTCTGTCTTAAGGTACGCTTGGGAGTCTTTTGCCTGGATTTCCTTCCTTTCCTCGCTTTGAAGAGGAAGGGCTGGAGCAGGGGGAGACCTGCTGGCGATGCGTTGCCTTCCTCAGCAGAGGCATTGTGCGCTCCCTGCTACCAACCTGGGCCGACAGCACGGACGTCTTTCAGGCTGTGCTCTTATTCTCCTGTGTGCTCTCCTTTTGCTCACAGGGAGACAGATGTCCCTTCCGCCACTGTGAGGCGGCTCTGGGCAGCGAACGAGTCTGCCGACTGTGGATACAGGGCTGCTGTTTCCGCAACGACTGCAAGTTCAGACACATGAAAATTGAAGTGAGTGTTTGCCTGAAGATGAGCTCTCCACCTCCCTCAGGCACCACCTGCAGCGCTGCACCTCTCTGCAAACCTCCTCTGCCTGTTTCCATGACCCTTCCTTGCTTTCTCTCTTCAGAAGAAGCGCAGCGCGGTTCCCTGCTACTGGGAGAATCAGCCGGGAGGCTGTCAGAAAGCCCACTGCCGTTTTCTTCATTTGAAGGAACGCGGTGGGAACGGACCGACCGTACCACCAAGTGACGGTGAGTTCCTGATGGCATGAAGCATGACAGACTTAATGATGAATGTTAGTTCTGAGCGGGTGCAGGATGTCAGGTAACATTCATTGGGGAGCGCAGGGAAGAGTGGTGATCAGTGAAATATTGGTTTGTGTTTGGGCTGTCAGAATAGGGGTGGGTGTTTTCTGGAGAGAGGTCAATGCATTGCAGGTCTGTGCCGACTGCAGAAATGGCACAACATTTGAGCAGGGGAAAGGCCAATGCAAGAAACTATGCTTGAATACTGGAAGCTTGTGGCTTGGTGTGCTGAAACCTTCCTCCAAAGAGATGCTCTTCAATTGTTTCTTGTCTCCTTTCTGCCAGAAGCTGACACAAGTGGCCTCCCTCTGAACAGCAGCCCTGCAGAAAGTCTGGAGAACCAGACTGAGGTTGACACAGCAGCAGAAGGAGGTACAGATACTGAACAGGCATCTGGGTTTGAGGCGCTGCCTTTCGACTCCCATGTTCTGATTGTTCTCTCCTGGACTGTTCTCTGCAGGTGACATCCCATCTTCCTCCCATGGCCCCGCTGCGCAAAAGCGCAAGCGATGTGATGAGGAGGAGGACGACAAAGCTGAGGAACTGCCGCGCAAGAAGAGAGTCAAGGGTGAGCACCAGGAGCTTGTTGCAGTGCCTCAGCACAGTCATGCGGCCACTCAGCGTTGTTCTGTGTCAGAGTTTTCCTTGCCCTGGGCTATTGCTGAGTGCAGCTCTTGGCACCTTATCAGCAACCTCTTCCTTTTCCTTCAGCTGGACGCAAGGTGCGCGGGAGGCCTATTGACTGGAAGACCACCTTCCCCACAATGCGGAGACTGAAGCGCAAAGCAGCGGAGATGCAACCATCTGCTGCTGAGGACGCCGACGAGCCCCCAGCCAGAAAACTGCCTATGGTAAGAGCTGCAGTAGTGCGTATGGGAGGTTTACACTGCTCTCGTAGTAATGGTAGAAGTTTCAAATGTTCCCCTGTCCTACTCTGGCCAGGGCTGCCAGCCACAAGACTCAAATGCCTGGAAACCAGCCAGGCCCAGAATGCCTCTGGCAATGGGGCATCCACAGCTTCTCTGAGAAGAAGAGCCACTTAGAAAAGCTTTGAGCCCTGCTTCACACACACTGTCTTGTTTCTTCCTAGGCGATCCTTGCTTCAGTCCCGCCCGAGTACACCCTGGTCAGCGTTGAAGTCCTGAAGCTTCCAAGCAGGTGATGACCGCTACTTGTTCTTCACCAGTGCCCTTCTTCCATTGCACATAAGTTCTTTCACATCAGGGGACACATGGAGTGTTTGAGATGTGCCGTGGCATAACCCAACAAAGGAAGAAGTCATCTGCACTAATTTCAATTGCTCATTCAAAGTCTCTGCTGAGTATGTCACAGGGAGCAGGAACTCAGTCTCTAACAGGTGGACGTAACAGAGGATGACTTCTTCATGCATTTACAGTCAAACAATGAGGCTGGCAGTGTGCTTCTGCTACAAAACCTGGCCTGTCAGGTGCTGATTGTTCTCTTCCTTGTTCTCCCCAGTCTGGAACTGCTTCCAGGAAGCCAGGCAGACTCCGTGGCACCATCATGGAGATCCCACACTCAACATCCCGTGCCACGCAAGAAGCTGACCAGGCGCAGCAGCTGACCAGCCCAGAGGTGGGGAAAGAACACTTCTCTGAGGATGAGGACCTCGAGAAGTTACTGATGGATTTCACTGAAGAAGAACTGGACGCAGAAATTGATGATGACTCTGTGGATATAGATGAGCTCCTAATGGAGCTCTGAGACCAACGACATCACAACATCATAGTCTGATTGTATATTTTACAACAACAACAACAACCATCAATTAAAACCAATCCTATTCCTTTTCAACCCTGTTCCTTGTCTTTCTTATTCTGAGGGGACGCTCTTTCTCAATCTGTGCAATGAGTCTTAAAGCAGAGTCAAACTGGTCAAAATCAGCAGTGCCTGCATTCTGTTCTCCTGACTTCCCTGCTGCTCAGAGTTCAGGGGCCGTGCACCCACTCCCCAGCCCTGGGCGGCTGCCTTCAGCATCAAGAGCACAAAGCACTGGTGTGGGCACAGAAAGACGTCCATCCGCAAGGCCAAACCTGAAACCTCTTCCTTCCTCCCCCCTTAGCAAAACTCTGCATTGGCTTCAAGTGGAAGCTCTGGGGTTCTGCTTCCTTCAACACTGCTTTTGTGTCAACTGCAGCGCTGCCACCCCCACCTCCCACTTTCTCCCCCTTCCCTCAGCTCTCACGCTGCATGGTGCGGTTCTTCTCCTTGAACAAAAGCTGCACACCCAGTACAACCAGCACACCCCTTTCCTTGCCTACACCCTGCTTGCTCACCCTTGTGGGCAGCAAGGGGCAGCGGCTTGCAGCGTTAGGGCAATCCCTTATTGCATCTGACTCCTGCTGCTCATCCCATTGCCCAAGAACAGCGGTGGAGTCACTCAGCTCCTGACAGCCCAGTGCATCTGCACTGGATCCTGGCCAAGGGGGCAGCACGGAATTGGTGAGGCCAGCAAGTGCTGGCGCTTGTGCCGCTGGCGCTAAGGAGCAGAAGGTGGCACCATCCATGGAGCTGCTCTGTACAAGCACCTGGCCCAACCTGGGTCGGGACGCCTCTCACGGACGACTGAATCCTCGGGGCTGTCGATCAATGGAAGCTGGGGCAAAGTGCTGCCACTCGAGTCAGCCTCAGTTGTCATCTGCTGAGGAATGGCAGTGCTTGGTGAATGCCTGCTCTACATTCAAGGCGAGGGAAACCGTGAGCAGAGGCCAGCTCACTCTTCTTACATCCACCTCCCTACTTGTTTATGCCCTGTAATTATACGCATTTGTTGCACAAGGCTTTCTGTTACTTTTCTTAATCCACGTATTTCTGTCTGTCCTTTTCTGTCCGTATCTGTACATAGACGTAGGGTATCCTGTTAGTGACTTGGATCTCGCCATCTCTGAATCTGTACTCAGGCCTCTGTTTAATTATCGTGTATTTCATTAAATCACATGACTGAACTCCTCACTGTTTAATGATTAAGTGCTGTTATAATGTTAGAGTGAGCTAAGAATTATCAGCATCATTGAATTATCAATAACTCTTGCGTGGCTTCTCAGTAGAACCAAGTGAAATGCAGTTGTCATTTCCTGTGATGCCAAATTGGTGGAGTCAGCAGGATGACAAAGAGAGCCACCACACCATTACCAAGATGTGAGATCCACCCAAAGCCTACATTCCCTGAGGATTTGGTTTGTGATAACTGGTGTAAGTGGGCAGAGGGAGGAGAGCATTAACTGATGCTGGAGCTTTGACTGAGGGTCGGAAAGATAAAGGCATAGTCTGCAAAAGGTTGCAGTGTGTCTTGACCTGCCAGGAGAGGGGAAAACCAACCTGTGGGTGCAGAAACATCAATTGCTTATGGTGATCCAACCGAATTCCAAGGAGACAGAATGACGGTTGGTGGGGTTGGGGAAAGACCGTCCCTGTAACCCAGACATGGTTGAAGTTGGGGGCTGGGCATCTCCCTCCCTGGCAGTATAATAAGGTGTCTGCTGTTCAGTCCCAGAGTGCATACGGGGCATAGTTTGGGTCTGACCCTCCCGATGACCGTAGGAGAGTTCAGACTGAGAGGAAGATGTATTAGTACTGGGTGGCACAGGTGATATTAAGAGGCCATGCAAAACTGGAGCCTATTCCTTGCCAAATCTGTGCCACATTACTAATACTAAACATATAGGATAGACTCCCAGGGGGCAAGAGGAAATCTCTAGAATGCTGCAGGAACTAGAAAACGCTGGGATCATAGACCTGCACGTAGCCCAGCATCCCAGGAAAACAGCAGGAGGTAAGAATGGCCAGAAGCCCGGCCGTACAACAGTCCCATTCTGAGTGCACCTTGTATCGTAACGTCTGCTGCTGCTTAGATCTCACCTTTCTCCAGCATAGCAGAGGAAGGCAAAGATCACTGAGTCGGGGAGCCAAGAAGTAAGCAAGTGCAAGATCCTTCCTCCTTGAGATTTGGTATTTCTTTTAACTCCAGCCTTTACTATACTGGCCCAGACAATAAAAAGTGTCTAACACGCTGAATGGTTTTTCTTATTCTGGTGATGACTTACAATGGCGAAGACTATCTAAAAACTTAGAAAGCTGAAGACAAAAATAAGTCCCCCTGCATAACAGCCACCTCTCAGACAGACTTAGCAGGGTGGCGGAGGGGATCCTCCCTCTCTGCTCTGCCCTGCTGAGGCCACTTTGCGAATACCATCCACTCACTGTGATGTGTGCCTACCACCTCCTGCTCATCTGCCATGTCCTGGGGCACTGGCATCACTGAGCGTTTGATGGGAAGGGCACACGCTGGCACGACCATGCACCTAAACCCTGGTGAGCACCTATGGTACCCAGGAGTCCTTCCTCAATGTCACACTGAGTGGCTGATACGGCACAGGACCAGCTGTGTCCTTTGGTTACCCTGTGCTCCAGGGCAGTGGCTATGAAGTCGCTCTGGTCTGTGGAGAGGAGGAAATGGCAAGGGGAAGGAGCTGGGCACTGAGGTGTGTGAGTGGAGCGGGGTATTCCAGGGGACCCAGGGTGTGGGGCCTCCCAAATTCGAGAACTCCAACTCAGTGGTAGACCAGGAGTCTGGGATCATCCCATCCCATTTCCACCCCTGGTCCCCATAGCTCAGGGGAGGAACCAGCAGTCTGGGATCTCCCCATCGTATTTCTAGTCCTCGGTTCCCATAACAGGGGTGTCTGGGATCTCCCCATCCCATCTACAACCCCATGAGCCCATGTTGGAGTTGTGAACTCAGGGATCCTGAGATTTCCCTGTCCCATGTGCACTCCAAGTGCCTCATTGCCAACACCAAGGAAGCATCCCCACTGCACTGACCCGCTGATGCCACCCCTCCAGGAGGCTGGGTGCTCTGTCCCCCTGCTCCTGCTGATGTCAGGGGGCCGAGTGCGCACGGAGCAAAGGGGGGACAGCAAAGGATGGTGCTGCTATTGGGGGTGCACGTGGCCTTCAGTGGTGACAGTGCTGTGACAGCGACTGCGGCAACGGAGCTGCAGGAACAGCTCTGTGGGATCTGTGTCCATCTTGAGAATAGGGGGACAAAGCACTGCGAGTGGAGGATGGGAATGGGATTGGGTGCACAGTTCTGGGGTCTGGAGGTGGGGTTGAGTGGGGAATGGGATGAACCAGCCCGTAAACTGCTGACAGGACGGGACAAGATAGGGTTGGGGATGGGATGGGGAGCACAGCTGTGGTGTCTGCAGATAGGGTTAGGACGAGGTGGGGATGGGGATATAGAGCAATGGAGATGAGGAAAGAGGGCTGGAGAAGAGTGATGAAGTGAGAAAGGGATTGAAAAATGGTTGAAGTAGTGCTGAGGGAAGGAGGAAGAAAGAAATGAATGGATGAAGAGATGGAGAAGTGGGTGAAGAGGACGAGGGGAGGAGAAATGGAGGATGCTTGGAGGGCTGTGGAACCCTTCCAGCAGGACTACTAATCTAACTACTGCTCCTTCTCTTCCCCCCAGCCCCATCCTGCTCATCCAAACACCCACAGAGGCTGTGTGCCACCATCCCAACCCTGTCCCCAACCCCAATATCATCCCCAAACAATTCCTCACCAATGCCACCTGCTAAGCCCTGGGTGTGGGCCATGGCTGCACCTTTGACCACCTCCAGCACGATTTCTCAGGCTTCTGCCTCTACCTTTTGACTGAACACTGCTTCAGAAACAAGAGCCCCAGATTCTTCGGTGTCCTCATCCAGGGTAGCCCTGGCAGGGCCATTGGTGCCCAAGTCCATGTCTTCCGCACGGTGAAGGAGCTGGAGCCTGGGCAGGTGCTGATGAGTAGCCCTTGGGATGAGTAAGGGAGGAGGGGCAGTGCTGAGTAAAGATATCAAATGGTCTTCAGAAGGGTGGTAGGTGGAACATGGAGCCCATGGAGTGCCCCAAGAACTTAGGAACACAGGGAGAGAACCCAACATTCCAAGGGGGACACAGCATTCTGCGTGGGACCCTGGCACCCAGGAAGGGACTGAGGGCTTGTTTGTTTGTTTGTTTTTAATAGTTTGTAAAAAAAGCTTCCCTCCTTGTGTTAGAACAATGTTCTGAAGTTTGATATTTGTCTCTACTTTCCTTCATCAGCTGGGACGTTGATGCCGCTGCACACATCTCCTGTTTTGTCATTCTGGTTTGTGTAAAAGATTGGTGAGATGTGCAATCTCTGCATGAAATTTCATTCAAGTGTTTTCCTTTATTTGCCCCCAGGAAGCAATGGCTTGGAAATGGCAGTGTCAGTCAGGAGCCCGCACTGCAAACTGAAGTCTCATCATGTGGATCTGCTGAAAACCGCCGTGATGACAAAGGAACGTTTGCGTCGTTTCTGTGCTGACTGTCACACAGCCTTGCGGAGCAGGTAGGGACATGGCATGGCAGAGAAAAGGGATTTCCCTCCTGATGGGGAACAGGTGCCCAAGGAACGTTCACATCCCACGTGCCGCTGTGTAACCCCCCCTTGCCCGTGCCCCACGTGCTTCTGGATGGGCAGCACAGCTTTTGGTTCACTCAGCCGCCTGTGGCACAGCACATCAGGCTTTCTGCAGGCATGGGAAATCATCCCATCGCTTTGTGCCTTACAAGGAAAAGGAAAACTTCCTCTTGTGAGAGTCCGACTTCCAACCCTTACCGCCTACACTGAAGAAGATGCCGTTTTTCTTGTATCCTTCAATTCCAAGCCCATATTTTCCAAAAGGCACAAGAATTCAAATTTGAACTCCAGCAAGCGATTTCAGTGCCTATTTCTGATTGTGGCAATTATTCAGTACAGAGGTCCCACCTAATTTACAGCGCCTGTTTTTATTCAGACAAAGGCTGCAGTTGCAGCTGACTCCCCAAGACTGCAATAGGAGGTGGTGACACAGCCTTGGGCTTCCGTGTTTGTGCTAATCCCACGTTTCCTTTCTCTGCCTTGCAGGGCAGCTCGTGCTGCAAGCGGCCAGGATCGCACTGTGAATGAAGGTCGGCATGGGAGCAGCTGCTGATGGGAGCAGGAAGTCCAGGCTGATGCACTCTGAGGCATCTCTTGGTGCGGTACCAGAGGTGGCAGTAATGATGTCGGGGCACAGCTGCAGAAGAACGTGAGCAGCTCCCCAGCAGGAAGCCACAAAACCTGCAGAAAGCGGCAGGAGAGCCAGAGCGTGCGCGGGAGCCCAGGAGGAAATGCAGCCCAGGAGTTGGAGCGGCGCCTGGCAGTGGAGTGCTGCGGCCCACGGCCAGAGCTATTCTGCCTTCGCCGGGCCGGCTTCCCAAGCAGGACGTGTCTGTCCTCGTAAAACCAGAGGGCTGGCTCATCCAAATGCTTGCTGATTGTTTGGAAGATCAAATTCTGAAGCTCAAATCCTTCCAGCCTCCAAGCTGGAGGCAACATCTCCTGCGTCCAATCGTGCGGCGCCTGAGCGAGAGGGTGACCCGAGATGGCTGCACAAGAGCCACCTTAATTTCTCTTAAAATCTTACTTCCAATAACCCCACTGGGTGACCCTTGTGTCGTTCTCTTAGAATTTGGATCTAGGAGGTGTCTGCTTCCTTTGCTTAGAATGAAAGCTCAGGAGTGATGCGGAACCATGGTGAGGTCACAGTCGTTGCTGGGGTGGCAGGGCTTGGCCCTCCGTGGCGAGCAGAGCTGGTGCTCTAGTGAGCGAGTGGCACACAGAGACTGAGCTCTGAGCGTTTTGTGGCAAGGATCATCCTTGAGAGCCCGTCAGAAGCACCGCTGCGGCGTGTGTGTGACCTGGGCACAGCCTGGACTGACCTGGACCAAGAGGTGAGCTGGGCTTGGTGCTGCGTGGTGGCTGGAAGGAGTCTCAGCAGAAAAGCTGGGCTGGGGAGGACTTCCCAGCTCAAACGAGGCCCTTCCCAATGGCTGTTGCCAGGGGAAATTGATCCTCTGAGAGATTGTGGCACACGTTTGGGTGAGGATGACGAATTGCCATCACTCCCCTGTGTAACGCTGCAGTGCAATGCAAAGTGCAGCAGTAACAACAGGGTGGCAAAGTCCGAGGCTGCAGCAAGGGAGGATTTGCCCAAGTGCAGCAGTTGGGGACACAGAAAGAAAGGAAAAAAGCTGCTGAGCCTTGGAAGGCCTCAGGTAGCAGGGATCTCCACTCAGACAGCCTTGCCTCCACTGCCAACCCTTCACTGATGTCTGGGAAGAGTTTGTGTGCACCTGCGCTGCCCTGCCTTCCCACCAGGTGCTCAACCACTGCCTCAAGTCAACGCAAAATGCGTGCTGCTAGGGGTATAACTGGTGGTGAGATGGAGGGCAGAGCTTGCTGGGAGAAGTGGTGGCAGTTAGACACAAGGTGGATCTAGACTTGGCACAGTTCTTGCAACCTGCTGCTTCCCAGACACTGCCCTCCTCCAGAGTCCATGCGGCATAAAAGAAGAAAGCTGCCAAATGCTTCTTCCTCATGATTCTTCCCTTGTTGACGCCTCCTCTAGGGTTCCTGTCCGAGAGGACATTTTGTGGATCCCAGCAGGTGCGGACTGCAGCCGGCTCCTTCATAGAGCAGGGAATTCCTTTGGAGACAGCCCATCCTTGCTCCAAGAAGTTCCCCATGGCTCTGCAAGGAGACGACTGCTACTACTATTTCAACTCCGTCTGTCTTAAGGTACGCTTGGGAGTCTTTTGCCTGGATTTCCTTCCTTTCCTCGCTTTGAAGAGGAAGGGCTGGAGCAGGGGGAGACCTGCTGGCGATGCGTTGCCTTCCTCAGCAGAGGCATTGTGCGCTCCCTGCTACCAACCTGGGCCGACAGCACGGACGTCTTTCAGGCTGTGCTCTTATTCTCCTGTGTGCTCTCCTTTTGCTCACAGGGAGACAGATGTCCCTTCCGCCACTGTGAGGCGGCTCTGGGCAGCGAACGAGTCTGCCGACTGTGGATACAGGGCTGCTGTTTCCGCAACGACTGCAAGTTCAGACACATGAAAATTGAAGTGAGTGTTTGCCTGAAGATGAGCTCTCCACCTCCCTCAGGCACCACCTGCAGCGCTGCATCTCTCTGCAAACCTCCTCTGCCTGTTTCCATGACCCTTCCTTGCTTTCTCTCTTCAGAAGAAGCGCAGCGCGGTTCCCTGCTACTGGGAGAATCAGCCGGGAGGCTGTCAGAAAGCCCACTGCCGTTTTCTTCACTTGAAGGAACGCGGTGGGAACGGACCGACCGTACCACCAAGTGACGGTGAGTTCCTGATGGCATGAAGCATGACAGACTTAATGATGAATGTTAGTTCTGAGCGGGTGCAGCATGTCAGGTAACCATTCATTGGGGAGCGCAGGGAAGAGTGGTGATCAGTGAAATATTGGTTTGTGTTTGGGCTGTCAGAATAGGGGTGGGTGTTTTCTGGAGAGAGGTCAATGCATTGCAGGTCTGTGCCGACTGCAGAAATGGCACAACATTTGAGCAGGGGAAAGGCCAATGCAAGAAACTGTGCTTGAATACTGGAAGCTTGTGGCTTGGTGTGCTGAAACCTTCCTCCAAAGAGATGCTCTTCAATTGTTTCTTGTCTCCTTTCTGTCAGAAGCTGACACAAGTGGCCTCCCTCTGAACAGCAGCCCTGCAGAAAGTCTGGAGAACCAGACTGAGGTTGACACGGCAGCAGAAGGAGGTACAGATACTGAACAGGCATCTGGGTTTGAGGCGCTGCCTTTCGACTCCCATGTTCTGATTGTTCTCTCCTGGACTGTTCTCTGCAGGTGACATCCCATCTTCCTCCCATGGCCCCGCTGCGCAAAAGCGCAAGCGATGTGATGAGGAGGAGGACGACAAAGCTGAGGAACTGCCGCGCAAGAAGAGAGTCAAGGGTGAGCACCAGGAGCTTGTTGCAGTGCCTCAGCACAGTCATGCGGCCACTCAGCGTTGCTGTGTGTCAGAGTTTTCCTTGCCCTGGACTATTGCTGAGTGCAGTTCTTGGGTTTCTTTGTTCCTTTCGATGCGCTGTGGATAGACAGAGAGGACTGTGTGCAAAACATTGCTGAAGTCCTGGACATGGCAATGTAATTCCGCTGGACAAATGTAGTTTACTTCCTGGAAGGGTTGTGCGAATGATAGGAGAACGGGGATTTCTCTTGAGGCACAGCAAGACCTTATCAGCAACCTCTTCCTTTTCCTTCAGCTGGACGCAAGGTGCGCGGGAGGCCTATTGACTGGAAGACCACCTTCCCCACAATGCGGAGACTGAAGCGCAAAGCAGCGGAGATGCAACCATCTGCTGCTGAGGACGCCGACGAGCCCCCAGCCAGAAAACTGCCTATGGTAAGAGCAGCAGTAGTGCATATGGGAGGTTTACACTGCTCTCGTAGTAATGGTACAAGTTTCAAATGTTCCTCCTGTCCTACTCTGGCCAGGGCTGCCAGCCACAAGACTCAAATGCCTGGAAACCAGCCAGGTCCGGAATGTGTCTGGCAATGGGGCATCCACAGCTTCTCCGAGAAGAAGAGCCACTTAGAAAAGCTTTGAGCCCTGCTTCACACACACTGTCTTCTTTCTTCCTAGGCGATCCTTGCTTCAGTCCCGCCCGAGTACACCCTGGTCAGCGTTGAAGTCCTGAAGCTTCCAAGCAGGTGATGACCGCTACTTGTTCTTCACCAGTGCCCTTCTTCCATTGCACATAAGTTCTTTCACATCAGGGGACACATGGAGTGTTTGAGATGTGCCGTGGCATAACCCAACAAAGGAAGAAGTCATCTGCACTAATTTCAATTGCTCACTCAAAGTCTCTGCTGAGTATGTCACGGCGAGCAGGAACTCAGTCTCTAACAGGTGGACGTAACAGAGGATGACTTCTTCATGCATTTACAGTCAAACAATGAGGCTGGCAGTGTGCTTCTGCTACAAAACCTGGCCTGTCAGGTGCTGATTGTTCTCTTCCTTGTTCTCCCCAGTCTGGAACTGCTTCCAGGAAGCCAGGCAGACTCTGTGGCACCAAGGGAGATCCCACACTCAACATCCCGTGCCACACAAGAAGCTGACCAGGCACAGCAGCTGAGCTGCACAGAGGTGGGGAAAGAACACTTCTCTGAGGATGAGGACCTCGAGAAGTTACTGATGGATTTCACTGAAGAAGAACTGGACGCAGAAATTGATGACGACTCTGTGGATATAGATGAGCTCCTAATGGAGCTCTGAGACCAACGACATCACAACATCATAGTCTGATTGTATATTTTACAACAACAACATCAACCATCAATTAAAACCAATCCTATTCCTTTTCAACCCTGTTCCTTGTCTTTCTTATTCTGAGGGGACGCTCTTTCTCAAAGTGTGCAATGAGTCTTAAAGCAGAGTCAAACTGGTCAAAATCAGCAGTGCCTGCATTCTGTTCTCCTGACTTCCCTGCTGCTCAGAGTTCAGGGGCCGTGCACCCACTCCCCAGCCCTGGGCGGCTGCCTTCAGCATCAAGAGCACAAAGCACTGGTGTGGGCACAGAAAGACGTCCATCCGCAAGGCCAAACCTGAAACCTCTTCCTTCCTCCCCCCTTAGCAAAACTCTGCATTGGCTTCAAGTGGAAGCTCTGGGGTTCTGCTTCCTTCAACACTGCTTTTGTGTCAACTGCAGCGCTGCCACCCCCACCTCCCACTTTCTCCCCCTTCCCTCAGCTCTCACGCTGCATGGTGCGGTTCGTCTCTTGAACAAAAGCTGCACACCCAGTACAACCAGCACACCCCTTTCCTTGCCTACACCCTGCTTGCTTACCCTTGTGGGCAGCAAGGGGCAGCGGCTTGCAGCGTTAGGGCAATCCCTTATTGCATCTGACTCCTGCTGCTCATCCCATTGCCCAAGAACAGCGGTGGAGTCACTCAGCTCCTGACAGCCCAGTGCATCTGCACTGGATCCTGGCCAAGGGGGCAGCACGGAATTGGTGAGGCCAGCAAGTGCTGGCGCTTGTGCCGCTGGCGCTAAGGAGCAGAAGGTGGCACCATCCATGGAGCTGCTCTGTACCAGCACCTGGCCCAACCTGGGTCGGGACGCCTCTCAGCGATGAACACAGCCTCAGGGCTGTCTATCAGTGGAAGCTGGGGCAAAGTCCTCCCACTCGAGTCAGCCACAGTCATCATCTGCTGAGGAAGGCCAGTGCATGGTGAACGTCTGCTCTACATTCAAGGCGAGGGAAACCGTGAGCAGAGGCCAGCTCACTCTTCTTACATCCACCTCCCTACTTGTTTATGCCCTGTAATTATACGCATTTGTTGCACAAGGGTTTCTGTTACTTTTCTTGATCCACGTATTTCTGTCTGTCCTTTTCTGTCTGTATCTGTACATAGACGTAGGGTATCCTGTTAGTGACTTGGATCTCGCCATCTCTGAATCTGTACTCAGGCCTCTGTTTAATTATCGTGTATTTCATTAAATCACATGACTGAACTCCTCACTGTTTAATGATTAAGTGCTGTTATAATGTTAGAGTGAGCTAAAAATTATCAGTATCATTGAATTATCAGTAACTCTTGCGTGGCTTCTCAGTAGAACCAAGTGAAATGCAGTTGTCATTTCCTGTGATGCCAAATTGGTGGAGTCAGCAGGATGACAAAGAGAGCCACCACACCATTACCAAGATGTGAGATCCACCCAAAGCCCACATTCCCTGAGGATTTGGTTTGTGATAACTGGTGTAAGTGGGCAGAGGGAGGAGAGCATTAACTGATGCTGGAGCTTTGACTGAGGGTCGGAAAGATAAAGGCATAATCTGCAAAAGGTTGCAGTGTGTCTTGACCTGCCAGGAGAGGGGAAAACCAACCTGTGGGTGCAGAAACATCAATTGCTTATGGTGATCCAACCGAATTCCAAGGAGACAGAATGACGGTTGGTGGGGTTGGGGAAAGACCGTCCCTGTAACCCAGACATGGTTGAAGTTGGGGGCTGGGCATCTCCCTGCCTGGCAGTATAATAAGGTGTCTGCTGTTCAGTCCCAGAGTGCATACGGGGCATAGTTTGGGTCTGACCCTCCCGATGACCGTAGGAGAGTTCAGACTGAGAGGAAGATGTATTAGTACCGGGTGGCACAGGTGATATTAAGAGGCCATGCAAAACTGGAGCCTATTCCTTGCCAAATCTGGGCCACATTACTAATACTAAACATACAGGATAGACTCCCAGGGGGCAAGAGGAAATCTCTAGAATGCTGCAGAACTAGAAAACGCTGGGATCATAGACCTGCACGTAGCCCAGCATCACAGGAAAACAGCAGGAGGTAAGAATGGCCAGAAGCCCGGCCGTACAACAGTCCCATTCTGAGTGCACCTTGTATCGTAACGTCTGCTGCTGCTTAGATCTCACCTTTCTCCAGCATAGCAGAGGAAGGCAAAGATCACTGAGTCAGGGAGCCAAGAAGTAAGCAAGTGCAAGATCCTTCCTCCTTGAGATTTGGTATTTCTTTTAACTCCAGCCTTTACTATACTGGCCCAGACAATAAAAAGTGTCTAACACGCTGAGTGGTTTTTCTTATTCTGGTGATGACTTACAATGGCGAAGACTATCTAAAAACGTAGAAAGCTGAAGACAAAAATAAGTCCCCCTGCATAACAGCCACCTCTCAGACAGACTTAGCAGGGTGACGGAGGGGATCCTCCCTCTCTGCTCTGCCCTGCTGAGGCCACTTTGCGAATACCATCCACTCACTGTGATGTGTGCCTACCACCTCCTGCTCATCTGCCATGTCCTGGGGCACTGGCATCACTGAGCGTTTGATGGGAAGGGCACACGCTGGCACGACCATGCACCTAAACACTGGTGAGCACCTATGGTACCCAGGAGTCCTTCCTCAATGTCACACTGAGTGGCTGATACGGCACAGGACCAGCTGTGTCCTTTGGTTACCCTGTGCTCCAGGGCAGTGGCTATGAAGTCGCTCTGGTCTGTGGAGAGGAGGAAATGGCAAGGGGAAAGAGCTGGGCACTGAGGTGTGTGAGTGGAGCGGGGTATTCCAGGGGACCCAGGGTGTGGGGCCTCCCAAATTCGAGAACTCCAACTCAGTGGTAGACCAGGAGTCTGGGATCATCCCATCCCATTTCCACCCCCGGTCCCCATAGCTCAGTGGAGGAACCAGCAGTCTGGGATCTCCCCGTCGTATTTCTAGTCCTCGGTTCCCATAACAGGTGTCCGGGATCTCCCCATCCCATCTACAACCCCATGAGCCCATGTTGGAGTTGAGAACTCAGGGATCCTGAGATTTCCCTGTCCCATGTGCACTCCAAGTGCCTCATTGCCAACACCAAGGGAGTGTTCCCACTGCACTGACCCGCTGATGCCACCCCTCCAGGAGGCTGGGTGCTCTGTCCCCCTGCTCCTGTTGATGTCAGGGGGCCGAGTGCACACGGAGCAAAGGGGGGACAGCAAAGGATGGTGCTGCTATTGGGGGTGCACGTGGCCTTCAGTGGTGACAGTGCTGTGACAGCGACTGCGGCAACGGAGCTGCAGGAACAGCTCTGTGGGATCTGTGTCCATCTTGAGAATAGGAGGACAAAGAACTGCGAGTGGAGGATGGGAATGGGATTGGGTGCACAGTTCTGGGGTCTGGAGGTGGGGTTGGGTGGGAAATGGGATGAACCAGCCCGTAAACTGCTGACAGGACGGGATGACATAGGGTTGGGGATGGGATGGGGAGCACAGCTGTGGTGTCTGCAGATAGGGTTAGGACGAAGAGGGGATGGGGATATAGAGCAATGGAGATGAGGAAAGAGGGCTGGAGAAGAGTGATGAAGGGAGAAAGGGATTGAAAAATGGTTGAAGTAGTGCTGAGGGAAGGAGGAAGAAAGAAATGAATGGATGAAGAGATGGAGAAGTGGGTGAAGAGGACGAGGGGAGGAGAAATGGAGGATGCTGGAGGGCTGTGGAACCCTTCTACTAATCTACTACTAATCTAACTACTGCTCCTTCTCTTCCCCCCAGCCCCATCCTGCTCATCCAAACACCCACAGAGGCTGTGTGCCACCATCCCAAACCCTGTCCCCAACCCCAATATCATCCCCAAACAGTTCCTCACCAATGCCACCTGCTAAGCCCTGGATATGGGCCATGGCTGCACCTTTGACCACCTCCAGCATGATTTCTCAGGCTTCTGCCTCTACCTTTTGACTGAACACTGCTTCAGAAACAAGAGCCCCAGATTCTTCAGTGTCCTCATCCAGGGCAGCCCTGGCAGTGCCATTGGTGCCCAAGTCCATGTCTTCCGCACGGTGAAGGAGCTGGAGCCTGGGCAGGTGCTGGTGAGTAGCCCTTGGGATGAGTAAGGGAAGAGGGGCAGTGCTGAGTAAAGATATCAAATGGTCTTCAGAAGGGTGGTAGGTGGAACATGGAGCCCATGGAGTGCCCCAAGAACTCAGGAACACAGGGAGAGAACCCAACATTCCAAGGGGGACACAGCATTCTGCGTGGGACCCTGGCACCCAGGAAGGGACTGAGGGCTTGTTTGTTTGTTTGTTTTTAATAGTTTGTAAAAAAAGCTTCCCTCCTTGTGTTAGAACAATGTTCTGAAGTTTGATATTTGTCTCTACATTCCTTCATCAGCTGGGACGTTGATGCCGCTGCACACATCTCCTGTTTTGTCATTCTGGTTTGTGTAAAAGATTGGTGAGATGTGCAATCTCTGCATGAAATTTCATTCAAGTGTTTTCCTTTATTTGCCCCCAGGAAGCAATGGCTTGGAAATGGCGGTGTCAGCCAGGAGCCCGCACTGCAAACTGAAGTCTCATCATGTGGATCTGTTGAAAACCGCCGTGATGACAAAGGAACGTTAGCATCGTTTCCGTGCTGACTGTCACACAGCCTTGCAGAGCAGGTAGGGACATGGCATGGCAGAGAAAAGGGATTTCCCTCCTGATGGGGAACAGGTGCCCAAGGAACGTTCACATCCCACGTGCCGCTGTGTAACCCCCCCTTGCCCGTGCCCCACGTGCTTCTGGATGGGCAGCACAGCTTTTGGTTCACTCAGCCGCCTGTGGCACAGCACATCAGGCTTTCTGCAGGCATGGGAAATCATCCCATCGCTTTGTGCCTTACAAGGAAAAGGAAAACTTCCTCTTGTGAGAGTCCGACTTCCAACCCTTACCGCCTACACTGAAGAAGATGCCGTTTTTCTTGTATCCTTCAATTCCAAGCCCATATTTTCCAAAAGGCACAAGAATTCAAATTTGAACTCCAGCAAGCAATTTCAGTGCCTATTTCTGATTGTGGCAATTTTTCAGTTCAGTGGTCCCACTTAATTTGAGCTGCCTGTTTTTATTCAGACAAAGGCTGCAGTTGCAGCTGACTCCCCAAGACTGCAATAGGAGGTGGTGACACAGCCTTGGGCTTCCGTGTTTGTGCTAATCCCACGTTTCCTTTCTCTGCCATGCAGGGCAGCTCGTGCTGCAAGCGGCCAGGATCGCACTGTGAATGAAGGTCGGCGTGGGAGCAGCTGCTGATGGGAGCAGGAAGTCCAGGCTGATGCACTCTGAGGCATCTCTTGGTGCGGTACCAGAGGTGGCAGGAATGATGTCGGGGCACAGCTGCAGAAGAACGTGAGCAGCTCCCCAGCAGGAAGCCACAAAACCTGCAGAAAGCTGCAGGAGAGCCAGAGCGTGCGCGGGAGCCCAGGAGGAAATGCAGCCCAGGAGTTGGAGCGGCGCCTGGCAGTGGAGTGCTGCGGCCCACGGCCAGAGCTCTTCTGCCTTCGCCGGGCCGGCTTCCCAAGCAGGACGTGTCTGTCCCCGTAAAACCAGAGGGCTGGCTCATCCAAATGCTTGCTGATTGTTTGGAAGATCAAATTCTGATGCTCAAATCCTTCCAGCCTTCAAGCTGGAGGCAACATCTCCCGGGTTCAATCGTGCGGCGCCAGAGCGAGAGGGTGACCCGAGATGGCTGCACAAGAGTCACCTTAATTTCTCTTAAAAACTTACTTCCAATAACCCCACTGGGTGACCCCTGTGTCGGTCTCTTAGAATTTGGATCTAGGAGGTGTCTGCTTCCTTTGCTAAGAACGAAAGCTCAGGAGTGATGCGGAACCATGGTGAGGTCACAGTCGTTGCTGGGGTGGCAGGGCTTGGCCCTCGGTGGCGAGCAGAGCTGGTGCTCTAGTGAGCGAGTGGCACACAGAGACTGAGCTCTGAGCGTTTTGTGGCAAGGATCATCCTTGAGAGCCCGTCAGAAGCACCGCTGCGGCGTGTGTGTGACCTGGGCACAGCCTGGACTGACCTGGACCAAGAGGTGAGCTGGGCTTGGTGCTGCGTGGTGGCTGGAAGGAGTCTCAGCAGAAAAGCTGGGCTGGGGAGGACTTCCCAGCTCAAACGAGGCCCTTCCCAATGGCTGTTGCCAGAGGAAATTGATTCTTTGTGAGATTGTGGCACACGTTTGGGTGAGGATGACGAATTGCCATCACTCCCCTGTGTAACGCTGCAGTGCAATGCAAAGTGCAGCAGTAACAACAGGGTGGCAAAGTCCGAGGCTGCAGCAAGGGAGGATTTGCCCAAGTGCAACAGTTGGGGACACAAAAAGAAAGGAAAAAAGCTGCTGAGCCTTGGAAGGCCTCAGGTAGCAGGGATCTCCACTCAGACACCCTTGCTTTCACTGCCAACCCTTCAGTGATGTCTGGGAAGAGTTTGTGTGCACCTGAGCTGCCCTGCCTTCCCACCAGGTGCTCAATCACTGCCTCAAGTCAAAGCAAAATGCGTGCTGCTAGGGGTAGAACTGGTGGTGAGATGGAGGACGGTGCTTGCTGGGAGAAGTGGTGGCAGTTAGACACAAGGTGGATCTAGACTTGGCACAGTTCTTGCAACCTGCTGCTTCCCAGACACTGCCCTCCTCCAGAGTCCATGCGGCATAAAAGAAGAAAGCTGCCAAATGCTTCTTCCTCATGATTCTTCCCTTGTTGACGCCTCCTCTAGGGTTCCTGTCCGAGAGGACATTTTGTGGATCCCAGCAGGTGCGGACTGCAGCCGGCTCCTTCATAGAGCAGGGAATTCCTTTGGAGACAGCCCATCCTTGCTCCAAGAAGTTCCCCATGGCTCTGCAAGGAGACGACTGCTACTACTATTTCAACTCCGTCTGTCTTAAGGTACGCTTGGGAGCCTTTTGCCTGGATTTCCTTCCTTTCCTCGCTTTGAAGAGGAAGGGCTGGAGCAGGGGGAGACCTGCTGGCGATGCGTTGCCTTCCTCAGCAGAGGCATTGTGCGCTCCCTGCTACCAACCTGGGCCGACAGCACGGACGTCTTTCAGGCTGTGCTCTTATTCTCCTGTGTGCTCTCCTTTTGCTCACAGGGAGACAGATGTCCCTTCCGCCACTGTGAGGCGGCTCTGGGCAGCGAACGAGTCTGCCGACTGTGGATACAGGGCTGCTGTTTCCGCAACGACTGCAAGTTCAGACACATGAAAATTGAAGTGAGTGTTTGCCTGAAGATGAGCTCTCCACCTCCCTCAGGCACCACCTGCAGCGCTGCATCTCTCTGCAAACCTCCTCTGCCTGTTTCCATGACCCTTCCTTGCTTTCTCTCTTCAGAAGAAGCGCAGCGCGGTTCCCTGCTACTGGGAGAATCAGCCGGGAGGCTGTCAGAAAGCCCACTGCCGTTTTCTTCATTTGAAGGAACGCGGTGGGAACGGACCGACCGTACCACCAAGTGACGGTGAGTTCCTGATGGCATGAAGCATGACAGACTTAATGATGAATGTTAGTTCTGAGCGGGTGCAGGATGTCAGGTAACATTCATTGGGGAGCGCAGGGAAGAGTGGTGATCAGTGAAATATTGGTTTGTGTTTGGGCTGTCAGAATAGGGGTGGGTGTTTTCTGGAGAGAGGTCAATGCATTGCAGGTCTGTGCCGACTGCAGAAATGGCACAACATTTGAGCAGGGGAAAGGCCAATGCAAGAAACTGTGCTTGAATACTGGAAGCTTGTGGCTTGGTGTGCTGAAACCTTCCTCCAAAGAGATGCTCTTCAATTATTTCTTGTCTCCTTTCTGCCAGAAGCTGACACAAGTGGCCTCCCTCTGAACAGCAGCCCTGCAGAAAGTCTGGAGAACCAGACAGACGTTGAGGAGGCAGCAGAAGGAGGTACAGATACTGAACAGGCATCTGGGTTTGAGGCGCTGCCTTTCGACTCCCATGTTCTGATTGTTCTCTCCTGGACTGTTCTCTGCAGGTGACATCCCATCTTCCTCCCATGGCCCCGCTGCACAAAAGCGCAAGCAATGTGATGAGGAGGAGGACGACAAAGCTGAGGAACTGCCGCGCAAGAAGAGAGTCAAGGGTGAGCACCAGGAGCTTGTTGCAGTGCCTCAGCACAGTCATGCGGCCACTCAGCGTTGTTCTGTGTCAGAGTTTTCCTTGCCCTGGACTATTGTTGAGTGCAGCTCTTGGCACCTTATCAGCAACCTCTTCCTTTTCCTTCAGCTGGACGCAAGGTGCGCGGGAGGCCTATTGACTGGAAGACCACCTTCCCCACAATGCGGAGACTGAAGCGCAAAGCAGCGGAGATGCAACCATCTGCTGCTGAGGACGCCGACGAGCCCCCAGCCAGAAAACTGCCTATGGTAAGAGCTGCAGTAGTGCGTATGGGAGGTTTACACTGCCCTCGTAGTAATGGTACAAGTTTCAAATGTTCCTCCTGTCCTACTCTGGCCAGGGCTGCCAGCCACAAGACTCAAATGCCTGGAAAACAGCCAGGCCCAGAATGCCTCTGGCAATGGGGCATCCACAGCTTCTCCGAGAAGAAGAGTCACTTAGAAAAGCTTTGAGCCCTGCTTCACACACACTGTCTTGTTTCTTCCTAGGCGATCCTTGCTTCAGTCCCGCCCGAGTACACCCTGGTCAGCGTTGAAGTCCTGAAGCTTCCAAGCAGGTGATGACCGCTACTTGTTCTTCACCAGTGCCCTTCTTCCATTGCACATAAGTTCTTTCACATCAGGGGACACATGGAGTGTTAGAGATGTGCCGTGGCATAACCCAACAAAGGAAGAAGTCATCTGCACTAATTTCAATTGTTCACTCAAAGTCTCTGCTGAGTATGTCATGGCGAGCAGGAACTCAGTCTCTAACAGGTGCACGTAACAGAGGATGACTTCTTCATGCATTTACAGTCAAACAATGAGGCTGGCAGTGTGCTTCTGCTACAAAACCTGGCCTGTCAGGTGCTGATTGTTCTCTTCCTTGTTCTCCCCAGTCTGGAACTGCTTCCAGGAAGCCAGGCAGACTCTGTGGCACCAAGGGAGATCCCACACTCAACATCCCGTGCCACACAAGAAGCTGACCAGGCACAGCAGCTGACCAGCCCAGAGGTGGGGAAAGAACACTTCTCTGAGGATGAGGACCTCGAGAAGTTACTGATGGAAGTCACTGACGAAGAACTGGACGCAGAAATTGATGACGACTCTGTGGATATAGATGAGCTCCTAATGGAGCTCTGAGACCAACGACATCACAACATCATAGTCTGATTGTATATTTTACAACAACAACATCAACCATCAGTTAAAACCAATCCTATTCCTTTTCAACCCTGTTCCTTGTCTTTCTTATTCTGAGGGGACGCTCTTTCTCAAAGTGTGCAATGAGTCTTAAAGCAGAGTCAAACTGGTCAAAATCAGCAGTGCCTGCATTCTGTTCTCCTGACTTCCCTGCTGCTCAGAGTTCAGGGGCCGTGCACCCACTCCCCAGCCCTGGGCGGCTGCCTTCAGCATCAAGAGCACAAAGCACTGGTGTGGGCACAGAAAGACGTCCATCCGCAAGGCCAAACCTGAAACCTCTTCCTTCCTCCCCCCTTAGCAAAACTCTGCATTGGCTTCAAGTGGAAGCTCTGGGGTTCTGCTTCCTTCAACACTGCTTTTGTGTCAACTGCAGCGCTGCCACCCCCACCTCCCACTTTCTCCCCCTTCCCTCAGCTCTCACGCTGCATGGTGCGGTTCTTCTCTTGAACAAAAGCTGCACACCCAGTACAACCAGCACACCCCTTTCCTTGCCTACACCCTGCTTGCTCACCCTTGTGGGCAGCAAGGGGCAGCGGCTTGCAGCGTTAGGGCAATCCCTTATTGCATCTGACTCCTGCTGCTCATCCCATTGCCCAAGAACAGCGGTGGAGTCACTCAGCTCCTGACAGCCCAGTGCATCTGCACTGGATCCTGGCCAAGGGGGCAGCACGGAATTGGTGAGGCCAGCAAGTGCTGGCGCTTGTGCCGCTGGCGCTAAGGAGCAGAAGGTGGCACCATCCATGGAGCTGCTCTGTACCAGCACCTGGCCCAACCTGGGTCGGGACGCCTCTCAGCGATGAACACAGCCTCAGGGCTGTCTATCAGTGGAAGCTGGGGCAAAGTCCTCCCACTCGAGTCAGCCACAGTCATCATCTGCTGAGGAAGGCCAGTGCATGGTGAATGCCTGCTCTAAATTCAAGGCGAGGGAAACCGTGAGCAGAGGCCAGCTCACTCTTCTTACATTCACTTCCCTACTTGTTTATGTCTTTAAATTATAGCATTTCTATCTCAAATGTTGTTTTACATCCACACATTTCTCTTTTTCTCTGTTTACCTGTGACCATCCGTACACAGGTGTAGGGCATTATGTGAGCCAGTTTGGATCTTGTCCTTTCAGATCAACATAACAGGTTCCAGTTCATGTGCTATGTTCAAACCAGGAACACTAATGCCCTTTCAGTAATAACTCCCATGTGTGCCCTAGGCCCTGCTCCTATTAACAGAACAGCAGATATTATTTGCAGCTTAGACACAAAGTCGGCCACCCTCATCGCTTTACACAAAGACTTCCACGAATACAGACAGACAGAGTTGCCACTTACACAGAAGATCAACAGGAATTGTTTGTGTAACGTGAAATGCCCTCCTCTGCAACCTCCAAGGAATAAAGGCGCTCAAAGCTCACCTTTCAAACACCTTCAGAGGTTTTTGAGAAGGCCATATGTCTTCACAACTTGCTGCAGGCTGTTTCCTGGAGTGTGTGCTTGCATGTGACAGCCCTGGCAAGCATGGCAACGTGTTAGAAGTCTGATCAACATCAGAAAAACTGCATTCAATGCAGAAAATCACAGAATGGCCTGGGTTGGAAGGGACCTCAAGGATCATGAAGCTCCAGCCCCCTGCCACACGCAGGGCCACCAACCTCCACATTTCACACCAGCCCAGGCTGCCCAGGGCCCCATCCAACCTGGCCTTGAACACCTCCAGGGATGGACGGGGCATCACAGCCACTCTGGGCAGCTGTTCCAGCACCTCACCACTCTCACAGCAAAGAACTTCCCCTGACATCCAACCTAAACCTTTCCTCCTCAACTTCAAACCATTTCCCCTTGTCCTGCTGTTATCCACCCTTTTCAGGAGTTGACTCCCCTCCTGTCTGTAGGCTCCCTTTAGGTACTGCAGGCTGCAATGAGGTCACCCCCAGCCTTCTTTGCTCCAGGCTGAACAAGCCCAGCTCCCTCAGTCTGCCTTTGTAGTGGAGGTGCTGCAGCCCCTGATACATTTGTGGCTTCTCTGGACCCTCTCTAGCAGCTCGCAGTCTCTTGGGAAGATTTTTATTATTATTATTATTATTATTTTTAAAACAGGTAGGAATCTTACTATTAACTGACAATTTGGAGATAGATCTCTGCCTCCTGTCTCACCATTCACTTGTACATTTGATCTCCTGGACTAATCCTTACTTCAGCCTGCCCAGTGCATATGGTCTTTAAAGGAGTACAGGCCATCACCGAGGCCAGCCGCATCACTTTGTGCCATGACCTTTTCCACAGGCAGGTGCTCTTCACATCACACAGCTGTGGCAGCAGGATGCTCGGAGGGTTCCTCTACTACCACTGCTGCCGACAGCAGTGCATCGCAGCTGTCCAAGGGAACATTGCCCACGTCTGCCCGCATTTCATGGAATGAACATCTCCCAGCTGATGAGAGACAGCAGAGTCTTTGCGTGTATGTGTGTGCAAGTTTTGCTTTACCGACTAAACCTCCTCTGTCTCACACCACGAGTTTTCCCGTGCTTGCCTACTGATCCTCTTGCAGCGTGGGATTCCGCCGCTCCCCGTGGTTCAGACTCAGCAGCTCCGCATCCCGCCGCTCTTTAACGCGGCCACCGACGGACGCCGCGCTGCAGCTCCCAGCCGGCTGAGCCCCGCGCTCCGAACGGAGGGCTGCGCGGCCTCCCGCCGCCAGGGGGCGCAATAGCGGCGGGAGGGGGTGGTGCTCCCGCCAAGATGGCGGCCTCCACGTCGGCTGGGGCCGCGGACCGGCGGCGGTGGGCTCTGGCTGTGGCGGCGCTGGGCTGGCTGCAGGCGGCGGGCGGCGCCGGGTGAGTGGCTCCCGTGGGGCTCGGTCTCCCTCGGTCGGGGTCTCCCCTTCTCTAGAAGGGGAAAGCGGAGGCCTCGCTCCGGCGGCGAGAGCGCTCCGTGACCCCGCGCTGCTGTCTTACAGGGCCGCCTCCGGCCTGCGGCTGCTGCAGCCCTACCCGCCCGGGCAGCACGGGCCGCGGCACGGCCACCGCCACGTCAGGGACTGTCAGCCCGTCCGGCACGGTAACGTGACGCACGAGGCCTGGCCCGGCGACAACAGCACGGGGCTGCCCGCGGCCACCACCCGGACCTTCGTTTCCTACATCTCCTCGGCCGAGGAGCAGCGCCGGGCCGTTTACGGCCACTTCACCTTCGTGAGGAACCCGCTGAGGACGTTGTCGGTGCTGGAGCCCGGCGGTGCCGGGGGCTGCGGGGAGCGGCGCAGGGTCACCGTGGAGGAGACGGCGCGGCTGGGCCGGTGCCTGGTGGCTCAGAACGGCGGTTACTTCGACATGAGCAGCGGGGAGTGCCTGGGGAACGTGGTGAGCGACGGCAGGCTGGTGCAAAACGCCCGCGGCCTGCAGAACGCCCAGTTCGGCATCCGCAGGGATGGCAGCATGGTGTTTGGGTAAGGACGGGGGGGTGGGTTTGCAGGAAGCTCCTGCAGGCAGACAGCACTGCTCATTTGTAGCCGCCTCCTTGCCTGAAGGTGGATTCGTTACCCGCTGTGCAGTAAGCCCATCTCGCACACAGATGATGTGTTCATTTACGGAATTTTTAAGGTTTGAAAAGACCTCTGAGATTGTGAAGTCCAACCCCAAGCCATCCCACAGTGCCCACTGACCACGTCCTGCAGTTCCACATCTCCACAGTTCTTGAACACCTTCAGAGATGGTGATTCTACCACCTCCTTGGGCAGCCTGTGCCAATGCCTCACCTTCTGAGAAGACATTTTTCTTAGTAACCTACCTGAAACCTCCCCTGATGCAACTTGAGACCATCCTCTCACTCTTGGGAGCGGAGGCTGACCCTCACCTCACCACAGCCTCCTTTCAAGAGTTGTAGAGAGTGATAAGGTCTCTCCTGAGCCTTCTCTTCTCTAGACTGAGTAACAGAATCATAGAGACACCAGGATTGGAAAAGACCTCCAAGATCATCCAGTCCAACAGTCCACCTACCACCATATTTCCCCACTAAAGACTGTCCCTCAGTACAACAGCTAACAAAAACCTGCAGGGACAGTGACTCAACCACCTCCCTGGACAACCCATTCCAGCATCTGACCTCTCTTTCAGAGAAACTTTTCCAAATAACCAACCTCCTGTGAAACTGGAGGCAGTTACCTCTCATCCTATCACTGGTTACACATCAGAAGAGCCCAAACCCCACCTCACTACAACCTGCTTTCAGAAAGTTGTAGAGAGCAGTTTCCACAGAGTTGCATAAGTTCAGATGCTAGGTGGTCTCCCACAAAGCAAACACACCCCAGGATTTTTGTGATCTCTCCTTATACATATTTTTTAATCACTTGACCACTATCCCAAAGCAACCTCTGAGCCATGCTCTTGATAGGCTCACAGCATCCCCAGCAGCGTTGTAGATGCCAACACAGCAGAACAGCAGGCAGTGATAGTCTGAGGGCTGGAGAAGCCTCAGCAGTCTCCCAGCAGCATCTCAAGTCTGAGCCCCCCACAGACCTCTCTAGAGAGGCTGGCAGCCTCCCACTGTCACTCACCTCTGGTGCTGCTGTGGGTCATGCTTGGCTGGCACTTGGTTTCACAGGAATCCCAGCCCTTTACCTGCTGTGGGGTACTTGTATAATCAATGAATATACAAGTACTAAGAAATATATGGGAGAGTTGGACTAAGCAGGTTATTACACTAGAAAGAACAGATAAAGGGCTTACCCTTGTTCTGGGTTTGCTGAAAAACTCCAAATAAGAGGGATCTCCAGAAAGAGATCCTCCCCTAGTGGTAGTCAGCTCTTAATGGATCTAGGAGAGATGGAGCCAAGCTCCACCCCTTCCAGCAGCACAGGTGAATTGCCTTCAGCTGAGCTCCCAGGGCTGACTCATTGCTTGCCTCAGGTGATCAATCAGAGGTTCAGGCCGTGATTCAGCAGTTCCCATACAGCACTAATCTTGCTTTGTAGGCACACAGCTGGGGGTGCAGGAAGAGCTCCATCCTACTGCCTGAGCTGAGAGCCTTCCAGCTTTCAGCATCATGGTGTTTGCTACCCCAGTGAGCAGATTCTGGGTGCTGTTTGTGGATACTCTGTGGTTGAGGCTTCTCTTTCTGCAGGTTATTATTATTTGTCCTCATCATTTTCATCATCCCAGCTGCTGTACAGTGCACTGATGTCCTCATGTAGCAGCTTATCCTGTCAGCAGAGTCTTTCAACCAGGACATAGCAGGTCACCATTTCCTTTGGCCCCAGCTTGAGTGAGAACCTGCAGCCTGAGCCTGCAGAATTGCATTCTCCTTGTGCAGCTCAGACTGCACCTGGGTATCTGCTGTGCTGGATGCTATGTCCTGTGGTGTCACCTGCATAGTTTCCAGCTGCTCTCTGCACAAGCTGCAGCATCTGCTGGCTCCTAGGAGCTGTGGTCTCTGCCATGCAGCTACATAAATCTCTTCTGGCACCAGCTGAAAGGGTGTGTGACAGTCCCTAATTAGGAGGCAAAAGCTCAGAGCTCCCTTTGATCACAAAGAGCTGACAGAAGGACTTCAGCACTTGCTAAGAAGTAAAACGCCTGGCAGCTATCCTTCCCAGCAGCAGCAGGTACACTAAAAGTCCCAGAAGACTTCCTAGGGGTCCCCTGGTGGTTCCCAGAAGACTCTGGAAACTGAGTTGCAAGCTGCTGCTTCTGTTGGCTGCATTCACTGCTCCGCTGGCCTACTCCCAATGTGTGCAATGTGGTGGATTTCCAGCTGTGGTCATTCTGGGTTCACATCCCATCGTTAAAAGGGATTTCTTTCTGCATGTTTACCATTCAGGTATTTTCAGTTATGCTTTTCTTCAACCAAGGATGCTTTCTTCAGCTACAGTTACACACTGAAAAACGATCAGGTAAGCATCCAGCTCCCACAAGACGTGTTTGGACCACATAAAGCAATTGGCATTAAACCAAAAAACACTGGCAGATCTTGCACAGTTGCAAGTACAGCTGTTCAGCTCCAACCTTTGCTGCTGTCTTCTATGTGTTGCAGACACCAACTAGCAGCAAGTTTTGATGAACCAGATCAGCACCCTCATTTTTGAGAGGAAA